GCTTCGTCCCTTCCTCCGGTTCAATCGACGGTGCCGGGGGCTTTAGCGCCGCCGTCGTGCGGTGGCGTCGAAAATGGGTGTAGTGAGTGATGGTGGTTGTTTGGCAATAGCTTGAGCTTGGTAGTTTGAGGTGGTGGTCTCGTGAGTGAGGTGAATGGGCTGCATAGTGCAGTGGCTGTGGTGTGTGAGTTTGCAGCTTGGGGAGCTTACTGTTGATGCTAGAAATGGTTGTTCTAGTATCAATGGTGACCCAAAGTGAAATGAATTTGAGAGTGTGAGGGAGAGATGGTGTTGATGCTAGAAATTGATGTTCTAGCATCCACATTAATCTCCAAGAATTGAGGAAAGGGGAGAGAGCTTACCAAAAATGATTGCTAGATTGGTGAGGAGAGGAAGGAGGTGGAGTGTCTATGAATAGAATTTTCTAGGGCACAAATCCCTAGAAAACTCATTGGGCCAGGATGTTGGGCCGAGAATTACTTTCTATTTGGACTTAAAAGTAATGGACCTCAATGGATTTGGATAAAAAGAATTAAAATTCTGATTTGGACTTAATTGCATTAGGCCAATGTAAATGGATTTCAAATAATTGGACTTAAAATAATTATAGAACATATATTTTACTTAATTTACTAAAATTCGAATTTAAACAAAATAATAATGAATCGATAATTTAAAATTTATTCGAAAATGAATTCGATTCGAAATAATTTAAATTCATTTATAACGGCTAGACGAACGCACTTTCTCTTTAAAATTAAGGTTAAAGTTTAGCGACACGTTTTTCGAAAAAACTAATTTTATATTGTTTAAAAGTTCTGGTCGCTACACTTGAGTTGCTCAATCGTCCCTTAGCCCGGTGCTTGGTCGTGACTCTTTTTACGGAATCGCCACTGTGCCAAGGCAACTCACTGAGAGTTCCATCAATCATTGGAACAAGTTCTTTGCTTCTTCGTCGGGAATTAAAACCTAACCTCTCCTTTAGAGACAAGGCATTGCATGAGGTTTTGTCAATGGACATGACTTTTGCAGTCCTTGACAGTGAGCATACTATCGAGTTTCTATGTACGTGCGCAGCATGTCCTTCATGGAGCTATACTACATATACAAAGTTGAGTTACAAAGTTGATTGACAAAATAACATCTACACCAATGATTTTAAAAACATTTGAAATCAACAGTTTGAATTTTGCCAACACACTTTGTAACCCAACTTTGTACAAATAGCTTTATTGGTCCTTCATGTATCACTCTTTGTTGCCTAGAAGTTATTGATTTCTGCAGAAGAAAGCGAAGCAATGTTATTAAACGACATTGATTGACAAAATAACATCTACACCAATGATTTTAAAAACAGATTTTTAAAACATTTGAAATCAACAGTTTGAATTTTGCCAACACACTTTGTAACCCAACTTTGTACAAATAGCTTTATTGGTCCTTCATGTATCACTCTTCGTTGCCTAGAAGTTATTGATTTCTGCAGAAGAAAGCGAAGCAATGTTATTAAACGACAGTGAGCAATTTCTGTTCCATAAAATCTCGACTCTATAAATACAAGCATCCCATTCTGATCACTGATCAGCAAGCCTTAGAAATAACTTCAAGTTCTGTCAAATAGTCAAAATGCCAATCACTTAAATTACTACCCCATCTAATAGTGCATAACAAGAATGATACTGGCAGCTTCGCTTTTTTCTATAGCCAGTTAGCTTCTAATAAAGAAGGCTTTCTCCACGAAATTAAAATTTTAATAGAGATTGCACGGAAGAGGACTAGGAGGAGATGAGTTTGGCTGGGGAATAGCTGCTTCAATGGAAAATCTGATTATGACTCACTTCTTAACCAGAATCAACTTACAGGACCCTAATCTCCATAAATTCTTGAGCTCATATTCGGATACTAAGATACCATTAAACCTGCTGATCAAGCACTGTACGCTACCACAAAGTGATACTAGGTACATTAAAATGAGTTCCCCGTATGTGAAGTAAATTTGATGACCTCTTGAGATATTCCATAGCTGCAATTCATTCGTTCATCAATCCTAGTTGATAAGCAAATCCCGTCTGAAAACAACTTACGGTGTGTTTAAGCTCCATTTTTTGAAAATATAGATTTTGTTATAGTGATTTTTGAAAAATGTGTGGTTAAAAAGTAGTGAAAAGTTTTGGATTTGTGTAAAATTGTTTTATTTGAAAAAATGTGTGATAAAAAATGAGTTTTATAGAATGGAGGTAAAACATGGGCTTGACTATTAACTCTTCCAGAAAACAAATTCCTTGTGACACCATGCAACATTTAAGGGGATACAATGAGATTGCACAGATCTGCAAGAAAATAAATGATGAAGAATGTTAAATAAAAGTGAAAACCAATGCCATGGGCCTCCTTTATCACCCACTATATCAATTTGACATAATCTTATACTGGACAACTGCACATCCATTCATTGAACACAAATTTTCAGGGAGGCCAAAAAGTGTAATTGTATTTAGATGCAAAACATAATAAAATAATTAATAGTCAATAACATTATAACGTGTACTGGACTGGGAAAAACGAAATCATCAATCAAATATTAAAAAAAAAATAAATAAATAATTGCACTGTATATGCTAAGGAGAAGAAGGCATGCAATGGAGAGGATCAGCAGCGCTCTCCATCCCCACCCCAATCCCAACTTACGGGGAGGCGGGACGAGGATCCCCATTCTCATCCTGTTTCTCCATCTTCAATTATTAATTTATTTTTTGTTTTTTGTTTAATACTGAAATTTAAAAAAGATAAAAAATACATGTTTTTCAAGTAGCACATTAGAGTATTACACTACTTAGGTTTTGCAATTTATTTAGGGCAAATGTTCAGATTGGTTTGGGCAAAGAATTTTGCTTCTGTTTTTTTTTTTTTTTTTAATTAAGAGACATATCAAAATTTAAAACAAAATTACATACATTTTGTATATTCATATTATACTTCAAAAAAAATTAGTAGTATAAATAACTTTCAAGGAGGGGACCGTGTTCCTCGTCCCAGAAGTGGGGCAAGGATTTTGCCCTGGCACCACAACCCGACTAACCAGGAATCCCCAGCCCATTAGAGGTGGGGCAATTGAGTGACAAGGTTTTTCTTTCCATCCCTATTTTTGAGTGACAAGGTTTTTGTATGCATTACAGCAGAAATAAGATTTTCTAGAGCAAATTATACTAATGCCCCTTAAGTAACTGCTAATAAAGTAACACCTCAAAAATTACAAAAACCTCATGTGACAATTGTTTTGAATAATAGATTCTTCCTAGAATGAATTTTTTTGACGACAAACTTAAAGAATTAAATCTAGATCTGTTATTAGCATAAAAGAAAATTTCAGGGTCTTAGGTAAGAAAATGCATATATATATATATATATATATATATATATCCCAGTCAAGACATGACCAACACTTAAATAAAAATCTTTGATTTGGAAGTCTCTAGAATTATTTTCAAAATTAAGTATATGCTGCTTTCACCAACAAAGATTTTGGTGCATACCTGATCAGGAATTTGTCATCCACCATATTTCCACTTTCGCAGAGGTCGTCTGCACTGTACAACGAATGCAGGTTTCCATATTCATCTTCACTGCTCATGGTGCTTCACTTTTTGAAAGCGTCCATTTCTGATTTTCCATTCCCTGTCTTCCATTAATTTTCTACTACCCCAGCAATTTGACTGGACTGTTCAGCTGTATGGTTACTGTGCAAACTCAATAGATTGCAAAGCTGAATCCTCACAAAATGTATTTCCTACATTATCATGCAATTTATCTAGTATTCTCCAAGTTACAGCATCTGGGGTCAACCCATTCTTTCTCATTTCACCCACAATCTGATAAGCTTCTCTCTTCAAACCCAACTTGCAAGCATTGTCAATGACAATGTTGTAATTTACATTATTGAGAGGAACACCACAATCTGCCAATTCATATAGGAAGTCAGATGCCTCATTAAATTTTCCCGAGCGGCAAAGCCCTTTAAGTATGGCGGCATAAACAAAATTGTCATGAATTCCAGAATGCCAAATGACCTCCTCCCAAAATCTTTTAGCCTGATCTATCCTGTGAGAATCACATAGCCCCTCAATGACAATAGTATAAGTAGTGCAATCAGCAAACACTCCACTAGAGACCATATTATCAAAAACTTCCATAGCTTCATTTGCCAGGCCTAGTTTGAACAATCCACGAAGAACTGCATTATATGTAACAACATTAGGGGATAAACCATTCTCTGGCATGACTTTATACAAAAAATTGCGAGCTTCTTCCACCTTTCCTACATTTAACAACCCACAAATAATAGTTGTGAAAGTCACCTTATCTGGCGCACAAAACTTCCCTGACATCATCTCACGAAGAACCTGTAAAGCTTCTACAACTCTTCCCATTTTGCAAAATCCATTTAAAACAGTATTGAGGGTAAAGATATCTGGCTGGCATTGTGCTTGATACATAGAAACAAGTACATTGAGGAGCTCAGTTGGGTTATTCATAAGACAAAGCGCCCTCAAAAATATATTGTATATCCTAGTCCTGTTAACACGTTCCTTGCTCAACATCATATTTAGAACGTCTTTTGCTTTAGTAATATCAAATTCATAACAAAGACCTTCAACTAAGATCTTATAAGTGAACTCCGACGGTAAGTACCCGAACTCAATCCCTTCTTCCAACAACTGATAAGCCCTTAAGCAATCACCCTCCTTGCATAGACCATGTACAATTGAATTATATGATGACAAGCTTGGCGTAATCCCTCTCTTTCTCATCATATAAACAATCCTTGCAGCTCCATTGCACCTCCCAAATGTACACAGTGAATCAATCAGTTTCCCATAAGCAAATTCTTCTACAACATTCTTCCCTTGCGGCATATCTTCTGCAATTTTAAATGCTTCATGGAACAACCCTTCTCTACATAAAGAATCAATAACATTACAAAAGGCTGCATTGTTAACATGGATATCCTCCTCAGTTTTCATACCATCCCAAAGCCTTCTCATCAATTCTTTCCCATATTCAAACTCCCTTTTCCGCAAAATTCCACGAATCAGAACACTGTAAGTGAGTGCATTGCACTTCACTCCATACTCGGACATTTCATCGAACAGCTTCTGAGCAGCACCCATGTCCCCAACTTTACAATACCCATTAATTAAAGTAGTGTAAGAAACATCGTTGGGGCGGTGACCTCTGCTCATCATATGATAAAACAGCGAATGGGCTTCACGCAGGCTCTCCAAATTACAAAACTGATCAATTAGCCGGTTAAAATTCATCAAAGAAGGGATAAAATTAGGCTTATCATCAATCAACGCCCGAATGACGCGCAATGTACAATATGGCTCGCGCGCATCTAGCAAGCGTGCAATTAAAACATTGCAAGTCCGCTCATCTGGGGTGCAACGACAGCCAACAAAAAGAAGAAGACGATTGTGGGCTTCCGAGAATCGGCCTGATTCGCAGAATGCGTGTATAATGCTGCTGATATTGAGTGAGTCCGGCCGGAAACCACGTACAGCGAGGTCATGGAGGAGGTCAAGGGCGGCGTCCACGTCATAGTAGACGGTGCACAGCTTGTGGATACGGCCTGTCCAATATTTTCTGTCGATTATGGGAGTGATATTATCTGTAGATTTTTCTTCTGACGGTTGTGCAAAATTGCTGAATTCATGTTCAGTGTTTTGGAGGAGTGGGTGGGGCTTTGTTGAGAAATATGCAAGAAATGGAGCAATTTTCCCGGCACTGGGACAAGGGAGGATTTTACGTACACACATTTGAGGGTTCGTATGTTTGATTTCAGTATTTTCAATCTTCCGTAGAGAACGGCAGCGGAGGCCAAATGACTTTTTTGAGGAATGAGATCAGATAGCCACCATTCAAAATGTTCTTGTCCAACTGACCTTGACCAAATTTTTCAAAATAAAATGAAATTTAATTATTTAAAATTGGGAAATGACTACTAAAATCAAATTGAAGAATAAATTGAAAATTTCATTCACGTCAAAAACATATTCTTTCCCAAATTGAAAATTGAAAACCTCATTCTCCTTCAAATTCCCAAAAATCATCTTCTCATTGACTTCAAAAAACGTATCTTCGCCTTCTTCTTGTGAGGGCAACAATTGTGGAGGGTTTTAAATTGAAAGAAAACATTGACATTTACTAAGGCAACTATTGTGAAGGGTTTTGAGATTTGAAGAGAAAATAACTCCTCTTGCATAACAATTTTTATTGTCTTTGACTCAAATGGCAGATAGGTGAATTCAGTTCTAACTGCAAGAGTAGCATAATCTTTCAAATAAGATGGTGGTTGACGAACTCGAAAGGTTGAGTTGAGTTTTGACAGAATGATTAATTCGTCAACAAAATATGGTGGTCACATGCATTAGAACAGTCTAAATGACGCTTGATTTTTGCTTTTTTCCGTTTTTGAAGAAGGAACATTAGTGTTTGAATCATCTTTTAAATGAGAGACCCAAGTATGCCTGATTTTCTCCATGATTTTATAAATGTTTAGCTAGAGAAGTAGCTAAATCCGATGTTAATTTCAGATTTTCCATCTCTGTTGCAGTAGATTCCCTTTGATTTGTAGGTGGAATTTATGTCTCATTTAAGTCATGAAATCTTCATCGTTGGTTGGTTATAGTTGGTTCAAAATCATCTAAAGAAATGTTGGAATGTTTCCTATATTATCAACATGTGTAGTGGTAAAAATCGTTCCACAAGCTCAAACGGCCCAAGTCCAAAAAATAAGGCCCATAGATGGCCTATTTGATGAATGCAGTATCTTTTGGCCTAGTTCGTTACGTCGATTGGGCCAAATAAGACCCACATGTCAATTCGCAATCCTTCATAATTTATCTCCCAGATAAATCACATTACGATTTGACCAGATCAAATAGAAATTATCTAAAAGCAAGTTGGGAATCTTAACTGAATAGATCTTATCAGTACCAACCAACAAATCTCGTCGAACCCTCGTCAATCTCGTCCAGACGGTTATCTCACTACTATAAAATATGTGGTCAGTCTTACGTTCAGGTACACAAAAAAACAAGTACTACTTTGCTCTGAATTATTTCTTCTCTCTTTTGGTCTAGTATTCTTAAAATTCTTGAAAAACTTTTCTGACTTGACCGTCGGAGGGTCTTCAGCCGGCACCACACTGGTGTCCTCTTGAGATCTTTTTGCGATCTTTTCCCTTCGTTCTACTTTTTTGCAGGATTGCTAGTGACCTGATCGACTCGATTTTCTTAACTGCAGAATTTATCGTCTATAAATTGGCGCCCACCGTGGGCCCTAGTAATCGTTTTTTTTCTCCTTCCGAAAAAAGTTTTACCTTTACTATTCGTCAATCACCATGGTAGGAACTTTCGAAATCGATCGTGCGAAGGACTCTCCGAATTACGTGGTGGATGAAACTGCTCGTAAAGGAATGGAACGAATGATTGGCCAGGAGGGAGGAACAACAAGGCAATAGGGAGACAACTTAGGTCATATCGCCGTTCTGCCAACCATTACACAGCAAGCCCAGTTGACCCAGCCAATCCAGTCGACAGTTGCTCAACATGATGTTGTTTATCCTGCCTCCACACATTCCAACCTGCTGCTCTGCCTAGCGAAGTAACTGCACAACTAGCCCAACTTATTACGTTGACAATGTAGAATTCACAAAAATTGGAGAGACTAGAAGCGGAGAATGCTGCCATCCATGTGGAGAATCGAGACCTTCAAGAAAGGGTGGAGTCGTTGGCATCCGATCCAACTTTCTTACGTCCGTCCCGGCCTACAACTTCACTCGACCAAAATGGACTTAGGACAATTGGTTCAAACATTCAATTCGCCACGCCACTGAATGGTGGGTCGGAAGACGTACAACCACAGCCCAGCAATGGACAAGATCCAGAGTTCGCATGAAAGTTAGCGGCGATTGAAGCCATGGTTCAACGTATCCCTGGGATGCCCACACCAATCAAAAAGAGTGCAACCAGTTGTTTCGCCGACTCCCCTTTTGTTGACGAGATTGCCCTAGTGGAAATGCCCAAAAAGTTCAGCTTCCCAAACATGAAACTTTAAGACGGGATGGCTGATCTGGACGATCATATAGCTCAATACAGACAGAGAATGTTTACTGCCGCTATACCAAGAGACCTTCGCGAGGCCTGCATGTGTAAGGGGTTTAGCTCCAGCCTTGTGGCGCCGGCCCTGCAATGGTATACGAACCTTTCAAACAATTCTATAACTCCTTTCACGCCGGAAGTGCTATCTTATCCGCTCCCAGACAGGTTTAAACTTCCCCGAATGAAGGAGTATGATGGAACAACTGACCCTATCAACCATCTCAACGTATATACGACATCATGAATCTACAGGTGGCACCAGATCCCGTAATGTGCAAAGCTTTTTCGCAAACGTTGACCAATGCTGCTAGGGATTAGTTTTCTACCCTAGAGCCCAATTCTATAGCTTCCTTCTCTGACTTGGCCGACAAGTTCTCCTTTTTCTTTGCCAGTAGTAAGCGCATCAAGAAGACTGGCGCATTCCTCATGCAACTTAGGCAGGGGCTGAATGAATCCTTACGTAACTTCATGTCCAGGTTTAACAAAGAGGGGCTCTAGATACCTGACCTTCACATAACAGCAACCCTCATGCAGCTCAGGTTGGGATCGAATGAATCTCTGCGTAACTTCATGACTAGCTTCAACAAGGAAAGGCTTCAGATACCCAACCTTCACATAACAGCGGCAATCTCCGCCCTCACATATGCTATAAGGGGCAATGCTTTCAAGATGTCCCTTTCAAAAAACTCGTCAAAGTCCATTACCGAGCTACTTACCAGAGTAGAAAAATATATTAATATGGAGGAAACATTGAACCCGAGGAGAAACCCTCACCCGACCTCTGAGAAACTCGAACACAAAAGGCAGCACGATTTCAATCCTCGTCCAGAGGTTAACAAGAATAAGAAGAAGCATGAGACACTGTCGACGTCATTAACCCGATTGAACACTTCCAGTCCAACATTCTGATGGAGATCAAGGATATGAAGGAGTTTAAATGGCCATCAAGGATGCAATCCCTTCCTAATACTCGAGACAAGAGTAAGTACTGCAACTATCATCGGGACCATGGGCATACGATAGAGAACTGCAAAGCCCTCCAGCGAGAGATTGAGGCTTTAGTAAAAAGGGGATATTTAAGTTCAATGGTCAGTCAAGACAAGCGCCCGAGGATTGATTGAGATGGCGGCAAGGGTCCTGAGAGAAAAGGGGATGACAAGCCTATTGCATGAACGATTAACATTATTATTGGGGGATAACATCAGAAGGATACTCAAACAGTGGATGCAAGCAGTATGCCAGGCAATATAACCCTAGCTTGAGGACAATGCCTGATGGTATGGAGGAAATCACGTTCGGGTTACAGGACCTGGAGGGTCTTTCACATCCACATAACGATGCACTAATCATATCAATAATCAGCTGAAGATTGATGATACAAGCAGTATGCCAGGCAGTATAACAGCTCAAAGCCGTTAAAACCCTGCTTCAAGGGTTTGGGAGCGGTACAATCATTCCGGAGGGAATCGTCAATCTTCCGCTAACGCTGGGGTCAAATCAGAAGCAGGTAACAGAGATCACATCATTCCAGGTAGTTCGCACTTCAATGGCCTACAATGCCATTCTGGGAACGCCGTTGCTCAACAAGATCGAGGCTATTGTTTCAACTTTCCACCTTGCTATGAAGTTCTCTACCAGTAATGGTGTCGGGGTAGTGTGCGAGGACCAATCAGTTGCTAGACAGTGCTACGTAACAAGTGTTCGGGGATTAAGCTCCAACATCATACATATCTCGTCATTCGTACCCGAGCCCAACCATGGGGTCAACTTATCCCAGTGGACGAGGTGGTAGAGGTCAAGCTCGAGCCAAGCAAGAAGGTGACGATTGGTCGAGTCCTTGAGCCAACCTCAGGGAGATACTGGTAAGTTGTCTATCCCGCAACATAGATGTGTTCCCCTAGAGTGTCGAGGATATGCCCGGGATAGACCCAAGCATTATAGTCCACAAACTCAATATCAACCCAGGAGCAAAACTGATCAAACAAAGGAAGAGATAATTTGCACCAGAACGGCGTGAGGTCGTTCGGGGAGGAGATGGGTAAGTTGATAAATGCTCGGCTCATTCGAGAAGTTCAATACCCTGACTAGCTCACCAACATCGTGCTCGTCAAGAAGGCCAATGGAAAGCGGAGAGTCTGTATTGACTTCACAGACCTTAACAAAGCATGCCCAAAGGATAGTTATCCCCTACCTTGGATCGTCAACCTCGTGGACAGCACGTTGGGATATAATTTGTACAGCTTCCTTGACGCATTTTTCGGGTATCACTAGATCCTCATGGCTGAGGAAGATCAGGAGAAGACGTTATTCATGGCTGATTCGGCAATATACTATTATAGGGTCATGCCATTCGGATTGAAGAATGCAGGAGCGACCTATCAGAGACTCATCAACAAAATCATTGCAAAAATGATTGGGAAAAATATTGAAACTTATGTGGATGACATGGTAGTCAAGAGAAAACAGGCGGAGCAACATAGCAGATCTTGAGGAGGTATTCTCCACCCTATGAGAGTATAAAATGAAGTTGAATCCAGCAAAGTGTGCTTTCGGAGTTGCCTGAGTAAATTTTTGGGTTTCATGATCACACACAGGGGGATTTTAGCCAACCCAGAAAAAATAAATGCACTAACGTCCATGGAGTCTCCTAGGAA